GAGACAAGAGGAGCCAGGCCTTGGGGCTGGCTGGGGGAAGGGACACAGTGAGAAGTGGTAGGGCCACACAGGAAATAGGACTGGGTAGAGATGCAGTTCAATCCTAGCTCTCTGCTCCTAAGCCTGTTTGCTTATTTGTAAAATGACAAGGGTTCTGCTGCCCTCAAATGGACTTCTGGGGAGCTCCCAAGCACAGTATTGCCCCCATTAATTGCTCTATACCCAGGAGGCTTGGTCAGGGACCCTTTCTCCCCAGCCCAGTTTGGTCTTAGAACTGAGCAGGCTAGCCATGACTGCTCCTTACCCTAGTAGTCCCAATCCCTTTGCAGACAAAAATCTCTTCCTACTGTCTCCTCTTCCATCAACCTCTGGGCTTCTTCCCTGAAGAGCATCCCATGGCCTCCTCTACAGTGAACCAAGGCCATGCCCCTACTTGTCAGTTTCCGAAGTGAGGGAAAGAGGGACTCTGACTCCTAGCTCCATAGCTACAAGGGCTGACACTCAACCTTGGCCTTGCCTAGAGCCACCAATGCCCCCCTGACTCACAGGTCTTTCCCAAGTACTAAATCCCTCTACTGCTGGAACTGCTGGCCTGATTTGGCTGAACTCTTACCTCATCAGCCATCTGCGTAAGGTCCCGCTTCATTGCATATGCATCTTCTCCATCTGCATAGTATTTGGGCTCCACTTCACTGATTCTGAGGGTAGGATGGAGACACACACCTGGGGGCAAATTCTCTGGTTCTTAGGCTACTAGGGTGGGTGTATCTGGGGGGGGGGGAGGGAGGGGGTGTGTGTGTAAAGCAAAAGGCCAGCCTGAATGGATTCTTTATTTTTTTAGTTTTTCATTTGAATGGATTCTTTTCCAACAGCCTGATGGCTTTCTTTGCTCTCCCCACTGAAGCCAAGCATCACAAGTAGCATTTAGGATACTTCCCATCCCTGGACTTGCCACTACTTTGTCCCTAGCTTCACTTGCAATGACTTGTGTCTGAGTTGAAGTCCTCAATTCTGCCTCCTCCTTCCTCTCTCTGATCTGCTTGCTTCCTGTCATTTACTGAACATACAGCTGGTTCCTCTGCTAGGAAAGAGAGACACTGTACCTGCATGTAGGTGGTCATCACAGACTTACTGCTGAAGGGAGATGTGTGTGCACACTTGAGTAGCCCTGACAGTGGAAGGGAAGCCATTTGATGGCCTAAGACATGAAGTCAAGAGAATTGGTGTGTGTACACATGCTCATGTGTTCATGTGGAGGCTAGAGGTATATGTTGGGTATCTTCCTTAATTGCTTCCCACCTTATTTTTTTTTTTAATATAGGATCTCTTCACTGAATCTGGACTGTTCCCATTCAGCTAGGCTGGTTGGTTAGTGTACCCAGGAATTATCTTGTCTTAACCTCTGATTCTCTTGTCTTAACCTCCTCAGCACTAGGATAACACTGTATGTGGCTTTTATACATGGGTGCCAGGGATCAAATTCAGGTTCTCATAACTAAGCTAACTCCTTAGCACCCCTATTTTGAGACAGGGTCTTGCTGTGTAGCTGAGACTGACCTGGAACACCCTGTGCTAGGCTCCTAACCCACAGTCCCCCACCTTCTGAGTGTAGAGATTAAGAGGCATGTACTACCACACCTAGCTGGGAATTGCTAACTTAAGAGTGTTAAGTAGTTCTCACCAGAAGCATCCTTAACTTGGTCAAAGAGCCCTCCATGAATCTGGGTACTGAACCCAGAAAAGCCTGAAGGCCACTGCCCTGATCCCAATGGTCTCATCTTCGCTTTACCCACTCAAAGCCTAGTGTGTGACTCAGTGGATCCTTCAATCAGTTTATCCCAGCCACTCTCTTCAATACTCATCTTATGAACATGAGCTGACATCAGTCATCACAACATCCAGAGCTATCGGTCCCTCATTGCTTTTGCTCATGGCCCTTTTTCTCTGCCATCCCCTTTCATCTGTTCTCACCTGATGCTTCCTAGTACCAGTCACTTCTCTGCCTTTGCTCATGCCCTAGCCTATCTCTCTTTACTCCTAGACCAACACTAAGAAGCCTTGTGTGTTCTTTACCCCATTGCCCTTCACCAGCCTCAATAGTACCAAGCCATCCTTCCTCTACCCAGCAAGATGCGTTGGGCCCCTTCTCTCCCACACACACAGAAAGCAGGAGCCTTCTCCATGTTCGCTTGTCAGTGAACAGCCAGCCACTGAATATATAGAAGGCCTCCTAGCAATGTCTGAAGTCCCTCCACCCGTTTCTCAGTCCACCTCAACCAAATGGATAGATCATCCCACTTAAAAAAAAAAATCTTGATCTACTTACTGAAAGTTGAGGGTGTTGGAATAGAGATGTAGGGCAGCCCGGTTACTGCAGGGGAATAAGGCACCACTGAACTTCACAAACTTGGCCAGGCATATTGGCCAGGTCCTGCCTTTCTTCCTGGTCCTCCTTCCCCACTAATGCTACCTCCCATCTTCTTCTGAAGGCAGTAAGCCCCAGTATCCCTACCAATTGGCTACCTCTTCCTCCCCACTCCCTAGTGTTGCCCTTTTCCCCAACTTGGCTTTCACCTCTTTCTGACATGCAGGGAGACATATTTGGCATTGAAGTTCTCTATCATGGCTCGAGAGGCCTGGTCCATCAGCTTCTGAGCCAGGCCAAGGCGCCGGTGGGAACGCTTCACAGCCTGAGAGAAGGATGGGTAGAGAGGGACCTTGGAGGCTGCGTTCAACTACCTCCAGCCCACCTCTGCCAAGCCCTCACAGCTCTACTCACCAGTGAGGTGATATGTCCGTGGGGCACGTCATCTGGGTCCTCTTCCCTAGAGGAGAAAGTTAGAAAGGAGCCTGGTACAGGTGGAGTCTATCTGGGACACCTGTGCACAGCAAGCGTGCAATTTGTGGAGGATTCTACAGCACCCCAGATCCAGGTAGAGGAGAACTAGGAACTTCTCAATCAGAATAAAGCCCCATGCTACACCCTCCAGATATGTACAGTGTTAACAGAGCATTGCCCTGAGATTGACCCCCCAAAATGTCAGCTGCCAAGCCACAAGAAGAGTAGTGCTGGGGCTGGAGAAATGGTTCAGTGGTTAAGAGCACTGACTGCTCTTCTAGAAGACCCAGGTTCAATTCTCCAGCAACCACACGGCACCTCACAACTGTCTAACTTCTATTCCAGGGGATTCAGTGCCCTCATACAGACATACCTGCAGGCAAAACACCAAAGTACATAAAATAAAAATAACTAAATTAAAAAATCTTTAAAAAGAGAGTAGTGCTGAATGCAACACTCTGAAAAGGCGACCCCACTGTTGGAGGTTGTGGGAAGATGGACAGACACTCTTCAATTGTCCAACTCAGAGGGCATGCAACACAGAAGCACAACAATGAAAACATGAATCGAAACAAAATGTGGGCTGCTTTCTCACTTCTACTAAGTGTCCCATACATGGTAGTGAGAGAACAAATGTGGAGGAAGGGTGCATGGAAATACTCTGTACCTTCTGCTCAATTTTTCTGTCAACTTAAAGCTACCCTACAAGCAACCTGTTAATTAAAATAATAAAATTTACAGCAAGCTGGGCATAATTAATCTCAGCATTCAGGAGGCTCAGCATGAAGACTGCTAAAAGTTTGAGACTAATCTGGGCAAAAGAGTGGGAACCCCTTATTCACCAGACATGGTTGGGGTTGACCTCCCATTCCCTTCTCCAAAGCTTTTCCCCAGCCCCTCAACAGCCAGTCGTAGCATTAGACTCTTTTCTTCCTCCTTGGTGACTCACATTTTGGCCAACACGTACCCCACAATCTTCCCATTCTCATCCTCAGCAATGTAAGAGAGCTGGAGACAGAGAGGAAAAGGAAGTCAGGCAGAGCAGGCAACAGGCTAGAGCTCACTACCAAACTCCTGCTGTGTGTACGATAGTGGGAAGCTGCAATGCAAGGAGCCCAGTTTCCATACTCCACACGTGTGCCCTCTTTTGGAAGAGCACAGGCACAGGTGGGAATCCCATCTCCAACCTGTGTCTAGCTTACAGTTCCTACATACACCTTTTCATTTGCCAGGCTTCCCCATCAGCCAGGGCCTCCCTGTGCCAAGAGATACTGCCACTGCTTTTAGCCTCCTGGGATCTATGTTTCACTACTGTTGCCCCTTACAAAACACAAAAGCTGCCCACCTGGGGCCAAGAGAGGCCATGATAGAAATAGTACTTCATCTGGTAGTTCTCGGGCAGGCAGAGGAGGTTGCAGTGCTGCATGTTCATCAGGTCCTCGGGCTGTATAACAGCAGGACACGGTTAGTCCAAGACTGCAGTGACTAAGAGGGCCTCATACACGCGAGACTCCTGTTCTCTGTTAATCTCTGGGCCTCCCCTTTCCCCCGGGAAGGTCAGGGTTGTGACTGACTGCACAAGCCTGGTTTCTATGCGCCCTGCAAAAGATGCCAGTTTCAGGACTAAGCAGCAGCGCCTGGAGGTCGCGGAGCCCACTCTATGGAGCCTTGACATCAGGCAAACTAGGGAGACTATAATCGCGAGATGTCTAAAGCAGGTTGCGGCAGCCTGAAGGTCCAGCGGCCGCAGACGTGTAGGGCCACAGCTCCCAGGTCCCTAGGTAGCATGCGCACGCGGTCACCCGGGAAGGTACCCATACGGTGGGGACAGGCTGGCTCCCCATCACCTCACCCTAGCATTGCGGATGTTCATCACGGCGGCGGAGCTCGCGGGTCCTTGTGGGTCGTGAACGCGCGCGCTCAGCGGCCACTCAGAAGCACCGCACGGACGACAGGGGCCGGGGCCAGGCTCCCAGGGGGGCGGTGGCGGAAGGGGTGGGCCGCTATGAGCCGCCTGCAGCGGAAATGCGCGGCTACGGGATCTGCTTCCAAACTGCAGTCAGTGAGCGCCCAGAGCCAATGGGCGCGGTCGAGGTGGCGCCTTTGAGTCCACGGCAGCGGGCAGCATGGGAAGTAGCTGTACCCTCCCGCGGGGCCCACAGAGGCGCGCACACAAGCTGGTGGAGCAGGGTCAGATTTATTTCGAGCCTCCGTAGATGGGGTCAGCGGGTGAGGACACGACGGGGGTGGGCCCGAGGCGGTGGATCAGGGCTTCCAGAATCTGCTCACACATGGCCAGACACCGCGGCACGTGGAAGCAGCCTGTGAGGATAATGGATGCCAGGGTTGGGAGAGCCCAGGCAGCTAGGTGTCACAAACCCTTGCAGCCTCGCCCCTCTCTCCTCTCACCTTTAAAAGGACCTCCCTTGATGTTGAGGGCCACCTTTCCCTCTCGGTTCAGATAGCCAAACCATTCTCCAAAGTCAGGATCATGAAACTAGGATAAGGAAGGAGACAATGACAGCTAGTGTCTGGCAGGGCCCACCCGAATATCACTGGCTGAGGAAGGGGCCCTTGTTGCCCCTTTGCACTGTCACCAGCAGAGTTCAGACAGCATGATCTCAGAAGAAAGCTGAGGATGGTGGGCAGTAGGACTTCCCAGCTTGTGTAACCCAGTGGGATAAGGGGCTGCAGGCGGTGTGCTAAAACGCTGGGAGAACAGGCGTTGTATGTTTGATTGGAGTCCAAGTGTTATCCAACACTTTGAATATTTAAAAACAGGCACATTTTTGCCTCATCTAAGTTAAAAGAGAAAGGGAGAGAAAGAAACAAAGAATCCTGCCAGCAAAGTTTGCGACAAGTGACTTCCCTGGAGTTCATGTCCTCTACTTCACAGGCCTTTGGCCTAAGAAAACCTTTAGATTATCAAGCAGAGACACAAAACTCCTGTCCATCGCATACTGGGGTTTTTATAGCAGGCTCTCAGACTTCCCTCTAACCCTGTGTGATGCCTTTACTCCCAACCGTCAGGAGGCTGACACATTGCTGTTTAAGTTTCAGACCAACCTGGTCATCTGCCTACCTTCACCATGGGTTCTGAACATATTTCTCACTTCTGATGCTTCAGATATGGGGGATAGTAGCTGAGCTGGCTGGAGAGACTTATTATACCTGTCTCACTGAGGCTTTTCAGTTCCCCAAAATGTAGCCCAGGTCCTTATCCTAAGCCCTTCCCATTTAGTTCTCACTGATAAAATAGTTAAGTAGAACCCCTTCTTAGAAGGCATTCAAGTTTACTATCAAAATTCTCCTTTAAATTGTGACATATGAGTTGTGGATTTTAAGCTGTGTAATGGTTCATGTCTATAATTCCAGGACACAGGAGGCTGAGGCAAAAATGCTTCAAGTTCAAGGCAGTACAGTCTGTCTCAGAAAGCGTGGTGGTAGTGTATTCAATGGAGGTATAAGCAGCCCTGTATCTAATCTTTATAGCTTTTGACTAGTCTTGTCCTTGTTATGTATTTATTTTTGAGAAGGAGTCTCACCTTGTATTTCTGACTGCCCTGGAACTTTCTATGTGGCTCAGGTTGGCCTGGAATCCAACTGAAGTCTTCTTGCCTCTGCCCCCCATTGCTGGAACTAAAGGCATGCAGCACCATAACTGGTCCATGCCCTTTCATTTCTAGTTTTTTTGAGACAGTATCTGTGTAGCCTTGGCAGTTCCTCAAACTCACAGAGATCCACCTGCCTCTGCTTCCCAAATGCTGGGATTAAAGGCATGAGCCACCACCACCCAGCTCTCCATGTTGATTATAACGTTTGCAATTCATTTTTTTTTTTTGTTCTCGTTTGAGACAGTAGCCCAGGAAGGCTTTGACTTCACAGACCTCCTGCCTTGGCCTCCCAACTGCTAAGATTACAAGGATGCACACCACAATGGGCTCTTGGAATTGTTTAATGTTATCTTTACCTTGTTCAAGTTCATTCTTACTTCATTTTATGGTTAAGATTGGTGGCTTTAGCTGGGCAGTGGTGGTGCACACCTTTGATCCCAGCACTTGGGAGGCAGAAGCAGGTGGATCTCTGTGAGTTCCAGGACAGCCAGCAATGTTATACAGAGAAACCCTATCTTGAAAAACCAAAAAAGAAAAAAAGAAAAGATCGATGACTTCTATTTCACTCCCTTAACATATATATTCAGTATTCAGGCAGAGATACAACCTAATGGCTCGTGTTTGGAATTAGCGCTGAGCATCTGAGAGAGCTTTAGCTGCCTGTTTAGACACACTGTAATAGAAGCATGGTTTGGATAGTGTTGCCTCTAATCACAATAAAACCATGCTGGATTTCAGTTACAGTTAGTACAAACCAGCCAGATGTAGTACACCCATCTGTCATTTCAGCATTCAGGAGTCAAGGTGGAGGCAGGAGGGACAGAAGTACAAGGTCATCTTCAGCTATTGTTATTTGTTTGTTTGAGGCAAGATTTCCAAATGTAGCTGGTTGGTCTTAAACTTACTATGTAGACCAGACTGAGCTCTTCTTTGCTGTGATCTTCTAGTTCCAGCCACCCAAGGCCTGGGATTACAGATATGAACCACCTTACCCAAGTCACCTACATTTTTTTTATTGACAATGAGGCGTTTGTAACAGGCCAAATTTCTCTCTCTGAATGACAGCCTCAGAAACTCATCGTCAGTAAAGTGCCTTGCAAACTAGCTTGGCAGTGGTGAACACCTTTAATCTCAGCACTCAGGAGACAGAGGCAGGCGGTTCTCTCCCACCACTGGAGAGACAGACATAGGATGATCCCAAGGGTTCGCCTGCTAGCCAACATAGCTAGTGAGTGACCCTGTCTCAACAAAAAGGTATGTAGTGCCTGAGGACCACCTGATGTTGTCCTCCAACCTACCTATACTCTCTCTCTCATACATGCACATGTACACATGTGGGGAGGTAGTGTTCAACTGGTGATCCAGCAGCCTGACATCCTAGCTGTTGGATTCCCTGTCAAGGCTCAGGCTGCTGGACCTGGCAGATCAAGGATGTTCCTGCCCTCCATTGCTTTGGATCCTTGTAGGGCCCTGGTCTCCCTTATTCCTGGGGTGCATTTGCAGGGACAGTTTATGATCAGCTAACTAAGCTTTCTGTGTGTTTCTGTGCTCTCCCTGCCCGGCCTGGTGGTTAGCTGCAGGGCATTTACTCCATTGTTAATGTGGTAATTTCCCACCTGCCTGGGCGGAGATCCCTGTGCAGCAGTTAGAAACACAAGGATTTCCCCAAGTCTGAATAAACGGGCATTCGGCTGGTCTCCTTTTGAATGACCCTGGTCTCTCTGTGTGTTCTTTCAATCTCCAGGCCCTTGCTCGACTTGCGTTTGGTACAGTGGCGCGTGAACTGTACCGAGGGTGTAACACAAAATCGGGTGTTACAGATCCTTGCTCACAAGGTTTTCTCTGACCCCTCTATGAGAAAGTTCTGTATCATTTGCTGTCTACTTTGTTTTTTACAGCTTATTCTTCTCTACATTTGTTTGTTTACTTGATTAGAGTCTGATCACCCAGAAAGGTGAATTCCTTGAGGCAGGGTTTCTTGGTTTACCAAACAAAAGGCACTCTTGGAAGTCTCAGAACAGCTGAGAGCAGTACCTCATGAGTGGACCCTAGGAGGGGCTGAGGGAAAACCTACTGGACCCCCTTACACGGTCCCTGTTTTTCCCTTCTGCTGCCTGTTAGACCCTTCATATCTGAACTGGGCTTCTAAGAAACGAGGAGACAGCACTTACATGGCTGAAGGTGTACTCAGCAACCTGGTTGAAGATTTGAAGCAAGGCAGGGTCCCCAGTGTCACTGAAAGCCATGAGGAAGGCAATCATGGCTTCACTGTGTGGCCACCAAAGCTTCATGTCCCATTCTAGCTGAGAACAGAGCAGAGATAGGCAGTTGAGGTCCCCTTAAGGACACTTCCATCCGATGTTCTGGCTCAGGCTGACTGGCTCAGGGCTTGGTTTTAAATCATAAGACATGGGGGATAGAGTTTGAATAGTCCTTAAGAAGAAGGATAGCTTTCTAAGCAGCTCTTTAAAAAGAAAAGTACTGGGGCAGACTCCCTTTAGCTCTTAAATCAGAATGCTGTCTTGCCACATCATCTTTAAGCCTCTTCGACACTGCTGCTACCCATGGCTGGTATAGTACCCTCTGTAGGCCTCCAGCAGGATCAGGACACAACTAATGAGAAGAGCAATTTCACTCCTGTCTGCTACCAAGTGAGAAAGTGTGAGCCACCTAAGAGCCCTTGCAGCCACTGGCACCAGACAAAGGAGATATGTGTCTTGGCACCAGCATTTGCACATATTCTTCTTAACTGGACTCTAGGTTCAAATTTTTGTTGTTAGTTAGTTTTTTTTTTTTTTTGAGACAGGGTCTCTCTGTGTTGTCTTGGGTGTCCTGGAACTCACTCTGTAGACAAGGTTGGCCTCAAGCTCACAGAGATCCTTTTGCCTCTTGCCTCCAAGTGCTAGGATTAAAGGCGCGTGCTACCATGCTCTGAGTTCCCTTACTATGTGCCAGGTTTCAAGCAAGTTGCTCTGGGCATTCTCACCTGGGTGGGGCAGAGCCCATCAACATCCTGGAAGTAGAAGAGTCCTCCGTGCTCAGGGTCCCATCCAGAGTGGAAAGGCAACAAGAGAAACTTGTCAATGATGTGCATTTGAAGTTTGGCATCACCTTTTCTGTGGGCATACTGGAGCAGGAACCAGCCAGCTTCTATTGCATGGCCTAGTAAGGGTTTAAAGAAAGTAAGGCAACACCTTTAATCCCAGCACTCAGGAGGCAGAGGCAGGTAGATCTCTGTGAGGCCAGCCTGGTCTACAAGAGCTAGTTCCAGGACATGCACCAAAAACTACAGAGAAACCCTGTCTCAAAAAAAAAAAATAAATAAATAAGGCAGGAATCAGAATTTCCCTCCAAAGCATCTGAGGGCTTGAGTTCCTGGAACCTCCCTTCCTCAAGTATTAAAGATGTTTGAACTCGGGGCTGGAGAGATGGCTCAGAGGTTAAGAGCATTGCCTGCTCTTCCAAAGGTCCTGAGTTCAATTCCCAGCAACCACATGGTGGCTCACAACCATCTGTAATGAGGTCTGGTGCCCTCTTCTGGCCTTCAGGCATACACACAGACAGAATATTGTATACATAATAAATAAATAAATAAATATTAAAAAAAAAGATGTTTGAACTCTGTCACAACCCTTTTTCCTGGACTCTATTCCCTGCAACAAAAAAAAAAATTAAAAAAATATATATATGCCTCCCCCAATAGATACTTAAGCTCCTGCAGCCAATGCCCAGTCCTGTGCAGACTATCTCCTTCCTGTCTGGTCCTTGGTGGAGGGAGGAGGGCAGCTCCCTCCCATATGAGGCCAAACTGAAAGCTGAGTTCTTTTTCCGGATGGGCCCAGCACACATCTTCACCTGGGTTCTGATGTCTTCCAAGGCAACCAGGGAGTTCTTTACCATCCTCTGATATATTCTCTAACACAGCTTTTCCATCCCTCTGTCAGGAAAGGGGCAAAAGAGAGATGTTTACAGTTCCCTGTCATCCAACCAGAAAGATCTAACTTCAAAAATCCCTCCACAGGACATGGTGGCCCATACCTTTAATCCCAACTCTGGGGAGACAGGCAGATCTCTGTGAGTTCAAGGCTAGCCTGGTCTATATAGTGAGTTCCAGGACAGCCAGGACTGTTACACAGAGAAACCCTGTCTCAAAAAAAAAAAAAAAGAAAAAGAAAGAAAGAAAAAAGAAAATCCCTTTTTTTCTTTACCCTTGGTACCAGCCATCTACTTATTCAGTAGGACCAAAGGGTCTTTTGGTTTTGGTTTTTCAAGACAGGGTTTCTCTGTGTGACAGCCCTAGCTGTCCTGGAACTCACTCTGTAGACCAGGCTGGCCTCGAACTCACAGAGATCCACCTGCCTCTGCCTTCTAAGTGCTGGGATTAAAGGCGAGTGCCACCATCACCTGACAGTTGTGTGTTTTGAAACAGTCTTGGGAGGGCCCAGGCTGGTCTCAAACTCTACACCTGCAAGGCTGACCTTGAACTCTAGATTCCCCTGTTTCAACCTCTGGAGTTCTGGAAGAACAGAAGAACATTTTTGGAATGGCTGATTGTCTCTCAGGGGTCTGTAGGTTTTGATCCTTCCTTTAGGTCAGGATCTCAGGCGGGAGAGAGTAAAACACTGAATGAGGAGGCAAGATAGATTTGGGAGCCCAGAGGCTGAGGAGGGCATAGAGTAGATCAAGGTCTCAGGATACGCCTGGGGTTCTGGCCTCTTCTTTCTACTTTAGGACCCACCCATCCCTGTCCTAGCAAGCCAGGCTCTACCTTCCTGAGGGCCCTGGACTGTATTTCAAAAGAATGTTCTTCCTTAGATCCAATCCACCTGTCTAGAAAGCTGAAGAACATATTTCAGGTGGAGGGGCCCTTGTATAATGGGAGGATGAGGTTCACTCTGCCACTCTCTCTGTGCCTACCTGGACGTGCTGCAGAATCCTGTGGGCACACCAGTCCCCTAGTTCTGCGTACTTGCTGGTCAGTGCCTCATCTTCCTCCCCAAGCTGCTCCACCAGGCTGAGCAGCATCATAGGCACTGCCATGGGCTCTGTGGCTGGGGTCCCCGAGAGCTGAGGCCGGCCTAGCCCAGTGGGGTCCACCCGCACCCAGTGGACGATCTGGTCCATCATCTCCACAGCTTCATTCTGAGGGGAGAACAGATAGAAGCTACAATCCCATCTGTGTCCCCTAGGAAGGACCCAGTACTCAGCTTGTTCTCCAAGGTTACACCTGCTCCTTCTACAGCTCTCCAGGGCCAGCCCACAGCCAAGCACCAGAGGCCAAGCAGATCCACCCAACACTGCTTGGGGGACTCTGGGATTCAGGTCACTTTCAGGCAGTAGAGCCCAGGAAGGAAGGACGGAGAGGACCTCTTCTACTTGGATACAGGGCACGGACAGATCCGTTTGCCCAGGGTCCCTATGGTGGTATAGGAATTGAGAGAGAGCTGAGGAGAGAAGGTGGTCACAAAATGGTAGGACAGGAATGAATGGGAGTTGTGGCAGACTCCCAGGCCTGTGAGAGTGCACTCACACCCACAGCCTGTAGCCATCCCTCCCACATACCTGATAACGTGTTTCCCCTGTTACTTTCCAAAGCTCATTCATGGCCATGGTGTAAAAACACTCGCTGAAAATGGTCCGCTGCACCTTCACTGGACGGCCATCCCGAGTCAACACAAAGGCACATTTCTTGCCAGGCGGTGCCACCCGGGCATAATGCAGCAAAAACTCACCACCTGGGGTTGGGGAGAATGTATGCTAGGTGAGGGCTGAGAATATACTGCCTCTTGAAACATGCCCAGTCCCTTCCCTTTTCTAGACCCTTTTAGATCCACTGAATAAATGACCCACTGAAGCTCCTGAGGTAAGAGAGAGTACCTGCTTTTGCTGCATCCAGAAGCTCAGCACGGTGGAAGCGCTCAAAAAGGCGGTACAAGCGACAATACATCCATACCTGTGAGGGAATACAGTTTAAAGAGAGGCAGCTGGGGTAAGGGAAATCCTAAGTATCCCTGGGTATCTCCAATTGTTGTGTGACAGTTTTAAGTGTAAAAACTGACCTGCCTCCCCTGTAGCCAGACATATTTGAGGTGATCATAGACCTGCCCATTGCGGCCAAGACATGTGAAGAAGCCCCTATGAGACATGTATTGTTAGAAAAAGAGGGAAGGAGACTTGCACCCTTCTTCATGGCTTCACTACTCTCATGAAGCCAGTAGATCTGTGAAACTTCAGAACGAATTAGGGGTTTCAGAGGGGCAAAAGCCCTGGGACAATCAGTGAGGGGTAGCTAACCCGTGTTCCTCGTCATGGGAGTGCTGTAGCCAGAAAGCGACCACAGTGTCGAGCTCCTGTCCCACTCGTTCCTTCCAGACCTGCAGTGCCTCCCGTTCCTTCTCCATGTCCTGTGAAGTGATTCAGGTCAGGGCATGGAGACAGAGTTCTTCACAGCGACTTCCTGAAACAGCTTAAGTGGGCCCCAGAGCTGTTTGCTCGCACCCCACCCCTCTTAGGTCCTTGAGCCTCTGCGATGGGCTTCTGACCCCACCGTTGCCTGGGACCTTCCAGAACAGCACCTCTCCCGCCAAGGATACCTCTGACTCCTAACGCTCGGTCCGTGTATTCGCTTTCCTCTAGGAAACGGGAGTTGGTTGCAATCCCGTGACAATCACTCAGCTGACCGAGCAGTGCCCCACCCACCTGATCCTCCTCTCGGTTCAAAGGGCCCAGAGGTAGGGGCGGGACAGTGGGCGGGGTTTCCCCACCCCCTGCCCATCTAGGCTCGGGCTGAGCACCCTTGATCTAGAACACCCTGGTGGGAACTGGATGAGGAGTCTTGTCCCATTGGGAGAGAGTAGGGAGGGGAACGACTTGGGCCTGGCAACTGAGGCTGGTGATCCCAACAGATGTGTGGGGTTGGGGTTCTCCTGGAAATGCCTGAATCCTGAGACCCTATGACCCCCATATAGTGGGCAAGTCATATCTGCCAATTTGGTCCTTTAGCTGCTTCAGCTGTCAGTATCCAGTAGTTTACAATCATTGGCCCTGATTGGTCAGTTCCTGGATTCTTCATCCCAAAAGATGCTTCTGAGAAAACAGTGGGTAATCATGCAGAGCAGAGTGGGAACCTTCCAGATCTCCGGACCTTCTACTACTATATGTTGGCTCTGAGACAGGCTGTTTGATCTGTTCCACGCATTTTTTTTTTAGATTTATTTATTATGTATACAATAGTCCTCCTGCATGTACACCTCTATGCCAGAAGAGGGCACCAGACCTCATTACAAATGAGCCATCCCTCCAGCCCCTCCACCCATTCTTGTTACCCATTGGGCAACCTCATTGATCAGCAGAATTCTGTGAAGGAAGAGTTTCAGTCAGAAAGCCTGAGGTAGTTGGGGAGCTTGAACATGTTCTGAATCTTATTATTATTGCCTCTATGTGTGTCTGTGCACCACATGCTCTTAATATCCTCAGAAGCCAGAAGAGGGATCCTCTGGGGCTAGAGTTACAGTTGGTTGTGAGTTTTCATGTAGGCGCTGGGAACTGATCCTGGGCCCTCTGGAAACGTCAGTGTACTTAACTGCTAAGTCATCACTCCAGTTTCTAGAACATGCCCTTAAGGATGGACAGCAATCCAAGAGTGTAAAGTAACTAGACCTGCTGCCTCATCAATGTTGCTCTAGGAGTTGGTTAGTAAAAAAGAATCCAATCCCTGGATATGATTATGTTCCTGTGCCACCCACACCCCAGTTGTGTGCAGACCTTTGATTTCATAAAGACTATGACTGCTGGCTAGTTCTGCAGGTTGGAGTGGCTTTAGCCTGAAACACTTCACCTTTGTAGTGCTTGGAGTAAGCCTTGTTCCCATCTGTTAAGTGTCTACTGCAGCTGCTGTGTGCATTATCTACTCTCAGCTTATACCCAGGGGACCCTGGATCTGTGTAGCTAGGAAGCTTGTGTGCCATTATTTAAACTTTTTTTTTTTGATTTTTCGAGACAGGGTTTCTCCGTAGCTTTTGGTTCCTGTCCTGGAACTAGCTCTTGTAGACCAGGCTGGCCTCGAACTCACAGAGATCCACCTGCCTCTGCCTCCCGAGTGCTGGGATTAAAGGCGTGTGCCACCACCGCCAGGCTTATTTAAACTATTTTTATCCAAGTCCATCCTCTCCTCTGCCTCCCTTACACACACCATCCTCCTCAAGATCAATCAAGGCCAAGCCTTAGTATAATGCTAAAGGTGGTTTGGCCCTGGATCTCATAGAAGCAGGGTGAGGCAAGACTGTGATGCCTCTTTCTGCCTTCAAGCTCAGTTTGCTTGCAAGTCTCACTTATTCCAGCCTAGCCTTGAATTCTATTTGCCAAGGATGGTCTTGAACTCCTGACCCTTTTGTCTCTACCTCTCAAGAACTGGGATTAAAGGTGTGTTGCATCACACCCAGCTTCAAGCTAAGTATTTGTTTTTGTTTTCTAAGACAGGGTTTCACTATGTAGTCCTGGCAAGATAGCCTAGTGGTTAAGAATGTATATTGCTCTTACATAGGACCCAAGTTCAATTCCCAACACTCAAGTTGATCAGCTCACAGCTGCTTGTAACCCTGGCTCCAGAGGACCATGTCTTTGGTAGCTGAGGGAACCTACACATACTTATCCACCCACCTACCCACACATAATTAAAAATAATTTAAAAAAAAAGTTGGGTATGACAGAGTCTATAATCTAGCACTTGGGAAGCAGAGGCAGATTTCTGAGTTTGAGGCCTGCCTAGTCTACATAGTGAGTGCCAGGAATGCAGTGAGACCGTCTTAAAAAAAAATAAGCCTAAAAGGGAGTAGCAGCAGGGATGTCAGAAAGAAGTGAGGTGCTGATCAAACATGTCCCCACACCCCTTCTTTCTCTAGCTCAAGCACCAGGGATGTGGAGATGCATGAAGGTGGTATGCTTACTACTCTCAGCCTGCTGGCACCTAGAGCTGTCAACACTGAGCTCTAGCTATAGGCCAGGACCACCTTATCTCCAGGCTTTCTTAGCTTTCTGCCCAGATAGCACTATTCAATCATGTCATAGCTGTACCACCTAACTGGCTGCTGGACTGCCAGGGTCAATAATTCTGCCTTGACCTCTTTGGATACTTGGCCTGTGCACAAAGAGGATTTGGTCCTACATTGAGCATCCATCCTTTGTCAGACATACCTGTTCTGCTACAGCTGCCATCCTGGAGTCTCCTGAGCTTATGTTGGAACTATAGAGGCTGTAGTTTACTCACATGTCTGCCAAATGGCCAGCCAGGCCTTGATCTTGGTCTGCCCTAGTGGGAGAATAGGTGACCTGGCTTGCAAATGCAGAATCAGCAGCAAGCACTCAAGAGGCCCCTCAGCCTTGGGCCTCTAAGGTAGCATGGCTCTAGAGGCCCCAGTGGCATACCTTGCTCTGGAGCCTTCTTAGAAGGGCAATCAAGAGTCACTCACCTATGGTTCCTGGTAATAAAAGATTCCCTGTTCAAGTGAACCTTGGGTAGGTCCCAGCTTCCCTTTTCCAAAGGTCGCAAGACACTCTTGACACAGATGGTTATTTCAAAAAAAGTCTTTTAATTGTTCAAAATAGCACAAAACAACATCGCACTATGGTAATATTGAGTCACGGGTTACTCTACAATAGATGAACGGGTAGTACTGTTCTCAGAAGAGAAATCAAAGGGTGCTTGGGAAAAGGGATAGGGAGAACAAACGGACCAGGCGAGTGGGCTCCAACTTGACTAAACATGACGTTTTCCACAGAGAAATATGATACAATACACTAGAGGCCCCAGGTATGGGCCTGAGTGGCCGAACACATTGGCTGTCCATTTTTAAATCCTTCAGTAACTTGCTTGCAAGCATTACTCACCGCCTAAAGCTGGGGTCCTGGAGAGAAAAATCCAGAGCTTGGGGACAATGCTACGAAATTAATTACTGAGTTTGTGTTATGTACCTACCCCCAGCCTCCATGGGATATATGGCATACCTCACCCCCTTCCTGGGCTGCCTTCAAGATGGCAAGGACCCACCTATCCCCTGCTCCTGCTGTGTTGTTCAGGGCCAATCTTTGCAAATGATGCTGATGAAGGCGAACCCCACCTTCAAGCTCAAGCCTCTACATATTAAGTGCTAACTCACAGGAAATAAAGGTTAATGTCTCACACTGTTCCAAAAGCAGGCAGGGGCTAGCAACAGGAAATTAGTTGAGGAGGCAATGTCTACCAGGTCCTACCCAGGACACTGCTTCTCTCCTGCCCTAGCTGCTCTCTCAGCTTTTCCCTAGAAAGATCCCTGCCAATGATTAGCCCGGGGGTGGGGGGGGGTGGGGGGGGCGGAGAAAAAAAAATACGATACACATTCTGTACAGAGCTAACAAAAAGGGATAAACCCCCACACGCTAAGGCTAAAATTACAATAAAAATGTTAATTTCATTAATTTCAACTTAAAAAGTACAACAAACACAGCAGTTGGTGATAGGGCCCCCAGGCTCAAACAAGGTGGGCCAAAGCCAGGGTCACTGGGGTCCACTCTGTGCCCAATGGGAGGATTTCACAGCCACTGCTCAGACCACCCAAGGCTCCTTTTCCCTCATCTGTTTTGTAAAGAGGAAGGGAGAGGTGTTAAGTGGTAGCACAAAGGCCTCTGAGATGTGTTAAGCTTCTGATAGGTTTGCTGGATGAAACAGATCTGACTAAGCCTGAAGAAGGGCTGGGAGGTGGCTGAAAATAAAAGGGTAGTAACAAAACAAACTAGAACCAGACAGATACCCAGAATGGGGCACCTGCTGGGAAAAGCCTCTGAGGGAACTTGGGGGACACCACTTCCCCCTCTAGCCCTTGGCTGTCTCTCAGGCCAAGGGTGATTGGCTAACCAAGTGCAGGCTTAAGTGTGGGTGCTATCTCCTTTGTTTTCAGTTTTAATCTCTCTTCCCAAAGTCTCTGAATTGTCCAGTCACAACTCATGGAGGTCACCAGGAAAAGGAAGGAGCACAACTTGCACTCATTTGCTTACTTGCCACTCTTTCCGATCTGTCTTCTGCTTTCCTCCCAACAGCAATGGTAAAATGTGCTTTCTTTATTGTAAAAACAGAGGGAAGTGGGGAGACTGAATGGTAGCCAGTGGTTGGTGAGGGTGAAGTGCAAAGGCTGGGTGGGCAGGGTGGGAGGGTGAGCCCTATAGGGCGTTCCTGAAGCAGAGGGGTCTGGAGGATTCAGATGCTGACCAGCTTCCTCACTGACCATCAGCCTTAGACTTCTTTGGAGCAGATTTCCTTTATGTAAAAAAGAGGAAGAACAGTTATAGAGAGTCCCAAGAACATTGCAAAAACACTGATTCAGGACCCTATGTGAATATAGTCCCAAGCAGCTGAAGCCTATTTCCACTCTAAGTACCTCCTACAGAAGAGTCTAGAAAGAGACTGGCTACTTACATTTCTGGAGACGACATGGGTCGCTTGCTGGCCGGCTTCGTGCCCGAGCTGTCTTTACTGGTTTCTGAAAGGAATGGGATAGATGGTAAGCAGCCCACCAAAAGGCAGGGAATACTTGGGTGTACCCTACTTGTCATGGTCCCGATTGCCCATGTCATCCTTCAGGTCCCTGATCTTTGTAGGACAGGAGCCAGAAATCCTTCTGGCTCAGCTCCTGTCTTCAATGCCCCTC